CTCGTATGGATGTTGGAAAACGTTCCTGCAGTCAAGGAAGCTCATGACAATGGCACAGCTTTGTTTGGAACGGTTGATACATGGCTCATCTGGGTAATGTGTGCATTGTATTGATAAGTCATGTTTCTCCACACAATATCATATATTCATTTTTGCCCATATAACACAGAATCTGACAGGTGGCTTGGACGGCGGTTTACACATTACCGATGTCACTAATGCTTCACGCACTATGTTCATGGACATACATAAGCTAGAGTGGAGTAATGAATCGCTTGAATTCTTTGGCGTCAAAAGCTCAGTCCTGCCACGTATTGTATCCTCTGCTGAGGTGTACGGTACTGTAAAAATATCAAGCCCATTACAAGGCATACCGATCGCAGGAATCCTTGGAGATCAACAAGCTGCTCTTGTCGGCCAAAAATGTTTTAATAGAGGAGACGCAAAAAACACATACGGTACCGGCTGTTTTATGTTGTTTAATACGGGTTCTGATGTTGTTATTTCAAAGTCCGGGTTACTCACTACAGTTGGTTACAAGTTTGGGAAAGAGGCTACTGTGTACGCTTTGGAGGGGTCTATTGCTGTAGCAGGCTCGGCCGTAAAATGGGTTCGTGATAATTTGGGCATAATTAACGATGCGCCCGAAATCAATGTACTGGCGTCAAATGTCGAGGACACTGGTGGTGTTTATTTTGTCACAGCATTCTCGGGTCTCTTTGCGCCATACTGGCGAGACGATGCTCGGGGATGCATTGTAGGCATCACACAATATACGAATAAGAATCACATTGCGCGTGCAACTTTGGAAGCCGCCTGCTTTCAGACGCGAGCTATTCTCGATGCGATGAACAAAGACTCGGGTCATCCGATAGTATCTTTGAAAGTCGACGGTGGATTGAGTAACTCTGATATTTGCATGCAAATACAAGCCGACGTTCTAGGCATCGAAGTAGATCGTCCGGCGATGCGTGAAACTACGGCACTGGGAGCAGCAATTGCGGCTGGACACGCCGTTGGAATATGGAAGTCGTTGAGTGAATTGGATAATGTTAATGCCGAAAATAGAACCATATTTTCTCCTAAAAGGAGTGGGAGAAGGCGGTTGAGAAAAGTTTAAATTGGGTTTAATCTTGGCGTTGATTTCCCACAACCCTCAGTAAAGCAGCCAATTGCTGTTTAGACTGCATATATTTAACATTTTTGTTTCATAAATAATTAATTTTAAATAAATTTGTGATTATGTTCAAGCTTAAGTTTAATATGCTGGAATGTAAGAGACAAAGTTTTAAAAGAGTGCATTCAGCAAGGAGAAAGATTTGATATGACGATAAATGTCATCTGCTTTTACAATGGTTCAATTCTTCCATCAAGTTGCGCGCATTGTACGCAAGTAATGTTCACGTTCTAATGTCTTATCCGATTACATGCCCTGCATAGAATTTGTTAATGGCGTACATCTAGCGTCTCGTGTAAAGAAACGTTATTGTAGCTAAACTTGACGATAATGGTTATAACATGAATAGTGAAAATAAAAAGCTGTGCCAATTGGAAATTTGCAAGTTAGAATTCTTATGTTGTGATGAATCAGATACTCAAATCACGTGAATTTGACGCGTTTAAAAGCTTTATCCTGTAATTAAAATTTTTAACAGAGTTTGTTAGATTTTTAAGCAACTTCGGTTGACCTCCGATCCGACAGCTTTCTTGCAGCGGGATTTTACTTGTCGCGTTCGTTCAAAGTCACGAGATCGACAATTTTTTTTACAGATGTTATGTGTTACATGATTAAACCAATCATATTTGTAAATTCTTTTGAACTTTCTGATTTCCGGTATTTCTCGGTTGTCATATTACATGTTTTCAAAATGGCAACAGAGACTTGCTATACCATAATCCACCAAGATGACAGTCAAGAACAACCTTCTTTACAGGAGCTCAAGACAGCTCTTGAAAAAGGTTCAGAAGAAGCCAAGATCGAGACTATGAAAAAGATATTGGTCACTATGCTGAATG